ATGGCGCCCAGGGACCCCTCCAGGAGATCTCCAGGCCCCACTTGGAGGCTGGCAACCTTGCCAGCCAAAGTCCAGGCAGTGAAGTGATGGCCAGGGACTTCGCATTTGTACTTTTATTAAAATCACATTTTATTTCAATCATTTAATAAATTAAACGTGCCACACGGCTTGTGCCAACTCGGCTCTCTCTTGCAGACTCGCAATGGCCTCCTTCCCCCCACCATGCACCCCACCCCCCACGTACACACACGAAGGGGAAAAAACAGCCCGTGCCCACCAGCAGCCTGGCGGAGCGGAAGGGTGGCCGGCTTGCCTCGGGGTGGCAGAGGTGGTTGCGGATTCTTCTCAGCGCGGCACGATTCCTTCCCCCCTCTGTCGCCTTGAGCTGCCCCCCCCCCCCGTTCTCCCACAGCGCGCCTTCGCTGCCTTTCAGAACAGAGCTAAAAATAAACAGCGATCAGGACATAACTGGCTGATTCTGGGCGGATTCTTTCGTTCTTTCTTTCTCCTGCTCGATGGTGCCCCGGGCCTCCTGCTGCACTCCACATCCCCCAGGGCAGCCGCTGCCACCACCCTGAGGCAGAGACTGGCCTCCACGGAAATGCCCAAAACCCGGGGGGGGGGGGGAGGTTCCACAGGGGCCGCAGCCGTCACATGCCTCCCCTGGCCTTCCCCAGAGAAAAATGGCCATGCCTGGCTCTGGGAGCACAAATCTCAAAAATTCGCCAACCCCAGGTCTGCCCCTCCGCTGGAGAGGCGCTCGTTCTGCCCCCCTATGCCCCCTCAGCCACCCCAGGGGGACGTCGGCCTCACGGATGCTGCCCTGGTGTGCTCCCGGGTCTGAACGCCAGGCCTCAGCTATGAGCCCCGGATCCAGGGCTGCCCAAGCCGAGTCGCACGCGTGGGGGTGAGGGGACGGAAGCCCAAAGTGGCCCCTGTGGTTTTGTGCTGCAGGCCAGAGATGTTCCAGGACCCCCCCACACACACCCATTCTCCCCAGACATTCCCCACACACACAAGTCTGAATCAGAGCGGTGCATTCAGTGGGTCTGTCCCACGACTTCTCCTCTTCCCATGGGATGGCTGCTGAAGCCCAACTGGGGTGCTGCTGACCGCTGCCCCCCCCCTCAGGACGAGGCCCACCTTGGCTGTTCCTCCACAAAGTCATTCAGTGTTTTCTCAGCTAATCCTCTATTTGGGAGGAGCTCCTTTGGAGACCTCCAAGGCCTTCCCTTTCTGCAGAAGAGACAGCTGCCGCTGCCACCACCTCTGTGCCATGAGCTGCCACCGCCCGCCCCTCCGGAAGTCCCAAAGGGTCTCCCTCCCTCCCTCCCTCCAGGTCCTTGGAGGAAGAAAACCACAAGTGGAGAAGGGGCGGGGGGGGAGCCTTCCCACCATACTCGTGGGTCAAGCCACATAGAGGGCTGGAGAAGTGGAAAACATGACGTCTCGCCAAGGGAGGCGAGAAGGGCTCTCTGGGGAAGAGCCCCATGCACAGACATGCACACACACACACACACACGGAGGGGCGGAGCTTCGGGGCTCTTCTTCCTGGGAAGCCCTCCAGACGGCAGCCGAGTTCACTGCAGAGGATTCCCAGAGCGGCTTGCGGGGCCTGGTCGCCTCGTGCAAGGAAAGAGGAAGCATGCTGGAAGAGGGACGGACTCACGGAGACGGAGGAAGTTGCCTGCACAGGGGAAGAAGGCAGCGGGGTTGGGATCGGGGCCGGCAGGCACAAAACCTCATCGAGCCAACCCCTCGAGTTTGACCTGCAACTGAACTGGGCCTGACGGGCACAGATACCCTGGCACACATCCTGCCCAGGTGCCAGTTGGTGCTCACTGGGACCCCTGCCGAGCACGGGGACGAGGAGGGCGGTGGCCAGACCCTGCAAGGGAGGCCCTGCCTGCCTGCAATCTTAAGACGAGGGGCCCCTTGGCTGAGCAGTCAGCAGGTTTCGGACTTCTTGCTTTGGACGCTTCGGCCACGACGGGTGACCTGGTGGTGGTGGGAACTGCCTTCAAACCACAGCCGACTTATGGCGACCTCTTGTGGGGTTTCCAAGGCAAGAGGCCTTCAGAGGTGGTTTTGCCATTCCCTGCCTCTGTGTATTAACCCTGGGCTTCCCTCTAAGCTGAGTTAGTGTGAGCTAGCTCACAGCTTTTTAGCTTCCAGCTCACAGGTTTTCGTCTTAGCTCGGGAAGGAGGGCTCCGGAGCAAACTAATTGATGCAGCAGCCCAATCGCTCGCTCACCACTTTAATGCCAGTAGCAGCTCACCAAGTAGAATTTTTGCTCACAGGACTCTCCACAGCTTAGAGGGAACATTGGCTGGTCTCCCATCCAAATACTAACCAAGGCCGACCCTGCTTAGCTTCCCAGATGGGATGAGATCATGTGAGCCTGGGCCATCTGGGTCAGGAGGCTGAGTGAACCAGATGTGTGTGTGTGTGTGTGTGTTTGGAAAGACCTGGACTACACTGCAAGTGGCCGGAGCAGCCAGCGAGCGTGAAGCACTCCACAACTTCCTTCAAAGCAGCAATTTGGCAGCGGCAGGCAAACTGTGACATGCAGGGGATCCAAAAATGCACCAGGTCCAGGCCACAAGTCGAGGCATCCCACGGGCCCTTCACACAGGAGAAAACACAACCTAATGGAAGGCCAGTGATGACCGCCCCCTGTCCCCCCCCACCAGTGTTTCCTCTAAGCTGAGTGAGTGTGAGCTAGCTCACAGTTTCTTAGCCTCCGGCTCACACACGTTTGTCTTCGCTCAGGAAGGAATGGCTCCAGAGCGAACTAATTGATGCAGGAGTCAAATCACTTGCTCACAACTTTAATGCCGGTAGCTCACCAAGTAGACTTTTTGCTCACACGACTCCACAGCTTAGAGGGAACTTTGCCCCCCACCCCTTGGCTCAGCACAGCTGACACTCCCCACAAACTCCACAGGGTGGCTTCAGGCCAAAATGCCTCCCTGACTTCATCTGCTGCTGTCTCCCGCTCTCTCTCACACACACACACCCGCACACACGCACATGCCCACACACACACCCCAGGGTGTAACTGCCGGCATCCTTTTCTCCTCCCTTCCTTTGGAGCTGATGCTTCAGTCTGTCAACTGCAGTCAGTTCCACAATTTGCAACAACGGCAGCACAAACAGAACAAACGAATCCAGAACCGCAGTCCCAAAGCCACGGATGCCCGGGAAGCTCGGTCAGCCCACAGCACCGCCTGCTGGGGGGCACGGAACGTGAGGCCCACAAATTCCCAGCAGCCTCCACAGCCCAAATGGGGCACGTGGGCCAAAGCTCCAGGTGGTCAAACGTTTGCAAGAGTTTCCATTTATTTGAGCCGATTTTCTACGGCCAAAGTGAAACTTTCCATGCATGCTATGTTTTCAGTCTGACCTTATTGGGCATTCCGTGTGTTTGTCAAAATTCTGAATGACGTGAACCTTGGGGGGGAGGGGGGCAGGGAATGGGCTGGGCAGGCCAAAAGCAGACACCCCCCTGCCCAGCACACACAAACACCCACACACACACGTGCACACACAAGGAGAGAAGGAGCAAGAGCTGAGCAAAGACTGGAAATTCGCCCACCTTTCCAACTGGCAGAACCCCAGTTACAGTACTTCACATGTAAACCATCAAAAGGGACATTTCAATTCTGTGAGATCCAAATCCAGGAGCACTGGAGAGAGACCCACCGGATTTCCAAGGCAGGGGCATTCGAGGGTCAAAGGCCCCTTCGTCAGATACAAGGGAACTCTGACTCTCAAATGCTTACTTCCTGGGAAACCCGGTCGGTCTCCCTCCGGTGCTCTTGGACTCAAATTGAGCTGATCTGCGGCAGACCAAGAGGGGCCCCCTCCCCGGGACTCTTCCCTTATAACTTTTGCTCTCTTTGCCCCCCCCCCCCCCGGCCATCGCCGTCCCCCCCCGGGCATCGCCGTGACTGTTCTGATTTTTTGGCAGAGGTCCAGCCTGGATCAGTCAGGCGGGAGGAGCCCTCCGGCACCTGAGCCACCAGGAAACAAACCCTTAAAGTAGGAACACCATCAAAGGCAGAGACCAAAAGGGCAGGTTTGTTCCTGCTGGGAGGGCAAGTCAGTGTGCCCCCGGAGCTGAAGGCACCAGGACACCCCCACTGGCACAGACCCCCCCGTCCCCCGTCCCCCTTCACCTCTTGCGGAGCCTCCTCATGAAGCAGCAGGTGACGGTGGTGAGGACGGTGATGCCCATGAAGAGGGCACTGGAGATCCCTGCCAGGAGGGGGATGAACAAGGTGTCCAGGGCTGCATGAGGGGGGGGGGAGAGAAAGAAAAGGCTTGTCAGAGAGAGAGA